TATTTTATTATATTATTATATAGTAATATAAAACTATTTATATCTTAGCATCTAGTAATTGGATTTTTATAATTTTGAACTTGTTAGAATCCTCTTAATGAGAAGATCATTTTGGTAGTTAAATCATTCAAATTGGCTTAGTAAATTAAAAGTTATTAATAATTAAAATTTTATAATTGATTTTTAATAAGTTTATAATTTGGCTTAAAAATATTTTTTAATTTTAGCCAAAACTTGATAATTCTGGCCAGAATTACACTTGATACACTGGCTGACCCACCCACTCCGAAATCAGCTAATTTCTGAAAGCCTCCTAACAAGCTAGTTTCTACTTTAAACCTATTTAATTAGTATATCTAAGTAAAATCTGGATAGAAGAAACTTCCTTGACTTTATTTCAAAATACTTTTAACAAATAGTATTCTGGTTGTAGAAAGGTTAGAAATATATCTTGAAGCATTGTTTATATGAATTGTTGATACTTTCGAATATGTATATTCATGTATTTGTTGTCACCAATCTGATTTAGGAGATAAACAATGCTGACTAATTAGTATACGTAATATTGATTTTTTGGAAAGGGTAAACTAAAACACCTACTTTTTACAAAATTTTCTCAAAAAAAGTGGTGGGCCAACAGATATATGTAAGGTTCTTCTTGTAAGTTTTACAGTTGTATCATCCAGTTTCTAACTTTTTTCTATCTTTGGTGAGAGTCTAGCTACTTTTTGTTTTCAGAATAATCCTTCTGGTTTGGATACTGAATATCCCTAGGAGTATATAAAACAAAAACTTGACCCAAAAAAAAACTACCAGAAAATATTGCTCCTCAGTATATTATATTTGACTTAGGCTTTGTCGACAACAACCTACTTAATATAGAACCAAGAATAGTATTTATTTAGTTACTTTTTTATACTTTTTGCTATAGTTTAATTTTTTTGTTGTTGTTTAAGAGATTATTAGAAAGAGTTGTATAAACTGTAATTAATATTTTTTTATTTATTTACTTAGATTTATATATTTAAATCCTATTGAAATAATTAAATATTCTTAAAACTTTTTGAAGCCCCTATGTATATTGCTTTAAAAAAAATAAACTTTATATATAATCAAAGTTTCTGAGATTGCTATATGTTTTCTGAAATTACACAAAAATTGCTAATTTTAATCAGTCAAATTATATGATATTTATATATAAATTATATATTATTATATATACAAAATTGATCTATAATCTATTTTATATGAAATTAGAAATTTGTATATCCTTAAAAAAGTAAAATAATAAATCAAATTTAGTATGTAACAAAATCAAATTTGTTATATGATTTGATTGATTGGTTGTCAAGATTTCTTCAATCAAAATTTTGTAACTAATTTTGGCATAGTGAAATATATTTTAAAATTTTTATTAAAGTTTGATCGAAGATATCTTGATAACCAATTAATCAATTTTGATGTTTTTTTTTATTCAAATTCTATTTAATTGTAGAATTCAAATAAAAAAAATTTTATTGAATTTGATCGATAGGTTGCTGAAATATCTTTGATCAAAGATTTATAACCAATTTTGACACAATTTCTATATAAGATATATTTTAAAAATTGGTTATAAAACTTTGATCAATGATATCTTAGCAATCAATCGATCAATTTTGATAATTTTTTTTTATTCAAATTCTATAGTACTGTAAAATTTAAATGAAAAAAATTTATCGAATTTGATCTATTGGTTATCAATATATCTTCAATTAAAATTTTATAACCAATTTCAGTACAGTTTCTATATGAGATATGTTTTAAAAATTGGTTATGAAACTTTGATTGATGATATCTTGGCAACCAATCAATCAATTTCAATAATTTTTTTTTATTCAAATTTTACAAATTTGTAAAATTCGAATAAAAAAAAATTTATCAAATTTGATCAATTGGTTGTTAAGATATCTTCAATCAAAGTTTCATAACCAATTTTGGTATAGTTTTTATTTGATAGAATTTTTTAAACTTTGATCAACAACTAATCAATCAAATTTGATGAATTTTTTTTATTCAAATTCTACAGTTTTGTAAAATTCAAATAAAAAAAAATTTATCAAAATTGATTAATATGTTTTCATAAAACTAAACTATATTACTAGCATGATTATTAAAATTAAAAAAAAAAAATAATTAGCCAATAAAACTATAAACATTCTATTCAATAAGAATTGGCGTGTATGTTATTATAAAAAATTCTTAATATAATTAGATAATAATCATATGTATACTTGACTCAGGTCAAATTGATCCTAGCAGAATTTTAGAGTTAGGGCAGACCAAAATTATATTGATGCTGACCGAGTTTTTTTAATTTATTAATTCAACCCGGATCAAGTTTAACTTGATCTAAAAACCAATTTGACCCGTAACATATAAGTGCTGCCAAGGAAAAAGGGCACCTCCATTTTTTAATCAATTATTGATTTAATAATTGATTAAAAAACAGAGGTGCCCTTTTCCCTTGGCAGCATTTAAAGAGATGCACATGCAGAATTTGGAGTGTGTATTTAGCTCTAAGTCCCAAGCTCAGGACAAAGCTATCACGTGCATTTAGAGAGTGTATGTACTTAAAGAGAATGCACTTAAAAAGGTTTGACTGTATATAGTAAAATTGTATAAGGAATTTTTGTTATAGTATAAAAGGCTGTTTTTTAAGCAAATTTTTAGTTTTTTGAAAATGAACGTTGGTTTTGGATCTTCCTGATCATGTTACATTACACCAAGGCATGATTCATTATCGAAAAAATTTTGTATAGTACATACAAGCTAAAGACAGCCACTAATTTTAAATGACTACTACTTTTTTTTAAGCAAATTATTTGCCAAAAACTTATTGTTATTTAATAGAATAGACTTAAACAAATCTAATAACAATTAAATTTTTTAAAAATTTTATGTATTAAAAAAATACTAACGTATAATATTTTCAAGCAAAGAAAATAATATACAGCAACTCTAAGTGATGGTATAAGTATATAATACTCCAAACAATAACACCAATTACAATGAAAAAATCTATAACAAAAAAAAATTAAAAAAAAAATATAACAAAAAAAAAGATTATATATGTACCATTATGATCTGTATAACTAGAGAAGGCCAATCTTGATCATAGATCAGATTTCACATAACTTAGAAAATCTCATTTACATTCTGTATCTGTCATCTTAACTAATAAAACAAACCACACTTGAGTACCTATAGTGAAAACCAAGTAATGTCAGATCTATAGTTTAGATAGTTTAAAATATACCTGTACATTTACTTTGATCTAATAAAAGATATTGGTGAGGTTATTAATATTTGGAAAAAAAAAAACATAACAATCTTGAAATCCTATAATCAGATTTTAATGATTTTAAGCTTATTAGAATTATCTCATTGAGACAAACATTTTGATAACAAAATTATCCAAAACAGATCAGTAGATTAAAAGTTATTATTAATTCCAAAAATCAACCCATATACTTTAATTTGTTAAATAGTAAATCTGATTGACAGTACATCATATCTTGTATATAATATTTATAATTTATAACATGTTAACAGACATGATAAACTAACTGGGTTAACTAATCTATGGAACAAATCCAAGTGGTAAAAATAGATCCTATCTCTAAAATTTTTATATTATTAAAAAACAACCAATTCCTAAATTTTTTACTTTTGAACAAAAATTAACAACTATAATCAACGGTGACGATCAAAAATTTAGGCCAAAGTTACTCAAATTTTTACTAATGAAATCGCAGTCGCAGCCGCCCATTAAGTAAAAAATGTTCCTGGGCTAATTTTACCATTGAACAAGCCGAAAACTTAAAATTTTTCATTGTTGGAATTAAAAAATTAAAAAATTAATTCTGGCCAAAATTATGTATAATGCGGGCCAGAATTTTGTCGATCACAGCCTGTTGGACAATCAAAGTCAAGGATCAACCACGCATTTTTTGTGCAGCACCTAGGCTTAATTACCCGGTATCATTAGTTTAGCTGCAAAATATAAAGAATCATTTACCAAGTTTCTCATACGTATTTATTTATATTCATTTATTCTAATAATCTATTAAAAATGTATGTATGACATTCATATAAATTTTATACTATCCCAGTTCGATGTGCAACAACGACTCCGACAATGGCAAAAATTAACAATCCCATTAGTATGGAGACAAACCAAATTAAACCATCATGTTCCTGACCTGGAACCTTAACGTTCATACCCCACAAACCTAATAAAAATAAGGCAAAACTTAGGCAAAGAAAAAAAGTTTTTTTTTTTTTTTTTTGATTTATTACAAAAATTACAGTACCTGTAACAAGATTCATGGGAACTAGTATGGTTCCTAAAGCAGTGAGACGAGACAAGATATCATTAATTTGATTATTTGCCTGAGTCATCTCAATAGATATTTGAGCAAGATAATTAGAGTGGGAACGGGAAAGAATTTTTTCGTAATGATTCAAATTTTGAACCATAGTAATGATATGATCTAAATATAAAAAATTTCATGAGCAACCACATATTTAAAGAATATGACAAGTATATAGCTAATTATAACCATGCCTTGAATATCGCCCAAATACAGAACAATTTCATTGCTAATGACCACGTCCCACCGAAGTTCATTGCACCTTTTTATGAGCCCTTTCATCACATCTGCTTTGCTTCCTAATAGTCTTAACAACCCTAAAACTTTTTTACGACAATGCCCAATCCGACGTAGCATGTCTGTTTGCTCAGATTCTTTAAGAATCAAAACCAATTCATCAATTGAATCAACTTCGAATTCGACTGTACGAATTAATGGTGCGAATGAATCCGTGATGTCATCAATAAGCGCGTAATTGATCCAGTCTGTATGGAATATTTGCCAATTCGTTAGTCTAAATGAATAACAAATTTGTAACGGCACACGGACTAACCTGGTGTGACCGTAACATAATCCTTTAGTTGCCTTATTCGCCGTCTTACATTGGAAGGGTGTGGTGTCGGCCGAAAGTGAAACTATGAAAAAACGAAATAAGACATAACATATATATTAGGTAAACAGACTTCATAATAACCGGAGCATTATGAATTTAAAATTTTCTATGTACTGATGGCTGGACACATGCACGCTATGCGCAAGCAGATATTCATATAAACTGAAACGAGGACATTTACTTATTTATTGTAAGTCTTTTGCTACGCTCCGGACAATTAAACTATCACTGAATCAGAAAACGTATCATACCGATAAAATCCCCTCCTTCATAACCACAACATAAAAGCTCACAGGTTGAAGATATGTTGGAGAATAATGATCTTGATCAAACGATCGAAAGCAAATAAAGTAATATTCTTTAAAGAGTTCGCATTTTTCTCTAGTTTCTTCTGTTTCTATATCTTCAACCGTAAGAGGATGAATTCCGAATATCTATCCGATGATATAAATATAATAAATTTTATTTTTTATTTTTTTTTAATATATAAAATCAAGATATTAAACGTAATTAGCACATACCCTACCAAAATCCCTCATCTCTAAATCTGTTGGTGATAAAACATCAATCCACCAACACCCTGCTTTTATCATATCGGTCAGAGTTAAACCATCCGGTGGAATCTCTGCTAGTGATCGTGCATGCACTGTACTGTATGCTGTAGAGTAAAAAGTGAATCTATATGAAGATTCCGTTGGATGCTGATTTAAAAGGTTTAAATAAATCAAATCAATTTCTTTGTTGGTTTATTAACTGTACGTGCAGATCCCACAAGAATAACTCTTGTTAATATCGTAAAGGATCTTTTTGTGTAATATGAATTAACACGCCTGGATACGAACCTCATTTTCCTCGTATATTTTATATCTCCCACCAGGCCTTTTGAAAAAAGCTGAAGCTGGTTCACTTAATCGTCTCTGTCTCCTTCTTTGCTCTTTTCTGCGTTTTTCATTTTCATCTTTAATATATTCTTCAAGAGCATCGAAATCTAATCCTCCAGCTTTGTATGCTGTCTCTGTCATGGGAAAGCAGACATCAGTGTTTATTCTGCTTGGTCGACGGTTTAACAAGGTCGATGCACCATTATCTGAATCCGTTTCTGAGTGGGTGGTGGAAATTGTATCAAAGTTTAAATCCGAATGACTGTCATGATTATTACTCATACTAGCAACATGCTCCTGACTATAGATGGGGGTGTAATTCATTTTCAAATTTTAATTCTTTATTTTTTATATAAATAATTTATAGAACACTTATGCTACTTAATTTATTCATTTAATAATTTTTAATTTTTAGAAAAACCAATTTCACCAATTTCAGCATTAATAAAGTTTTTCCATATATATATTCAGAAAGGCCCATCTACGTATACTCCAGACGAAGAATTTAGAGAACATTCGTCTGATTGGTTAATTTTTATAGAATAAACCCTACCACTATAGTGCATACAAGCTAAAGACGGATTGTTACACAAACCTGTTTCAAATTTTAAAATATGCATCCGGCCTTAAAAT